TAATTATTAAAAAATTTATTAATATCATTAAGATGATCTTAACTCCATTGAAAAAAAATAGCTAGTTTCTGTAAAGTATACTAAAAATTAGTTTAGGAACATTTTTCACTTAGGCAAGACCAACTGGATTCTGTGTTTTACATTACTCTCCCTCTTCTAAAAAAGGGTGGTTTGTGGTTTAAATAGTAAAATTTAAAAAATTTTTTTTAAAAAAATTTTTTTTGAATTAATCTGTGACTATATAAAATTTTTCAAAATATTCTTTAGCTCTATATATATTTATTTAAATTTTTTTTACTATGAAGCAGAGGGAGGACTCCCCGAGAAGAGTGTCGGTATAATATAAAACACATAATCCAGTTGATTTTATCATAATAGGCAGATGTAATTTCATTAGTAAAATTTTAGCCTAAATTTTTGACTATTACTCTTTAACCAATCAAAATCAAGAATTTGCTATAATGAACAGCTAGGATAATTCAAATTAAAGCAATAATTATGATTTATTAGCTAGAAAATAAAAAATTTGGTGTTGACTAGCTAGTTAGCTAAGCCAATATAGCTGACTATCAATGACTATAGCTATAGCTAGTCAGCTATAATCTAACTGAACCTATCTCTATATGAATCCTTAGAACTATCTCTTTTAAAAATTTAAAATTAAAAATAGTTCTACAAATTTTTTAAATCTACAATTGATAAAATAGAGTTTATTGACCAATTATAATAATACAAACTTATCATGTATAATATATTGTAGTAATTATACTATATTTGAGAATATCTTGATTAGCATTAGTGATTCTGGCTTATTAGAACCCTGAATATCTAGGATATAGGTCATATATGAATTTTTCAAAAAACCTCTATAAATTTGGAAGCAAAAAAACACAAAATTGCAAATATCTTAGCAACCAGTAGTCCAATTTTAATGAATGTTTTTTTATAAAAGCCCTTAGTGAGGCACTTTTTTTAAAAAAATGTTCATTCAATTCTAATCACTGGAGCCAGAGATATTTAAGAAAAAGTAAAATTCTAGTTTTTAGCAAATTAGCCCAAATTAGCCAAAATCCAAATATAATCTACATTAGAGATGTCTGGGGTTCTGGCTTATTAATGTATAAAAAAATGTTTTCCTATTGATATATGTAATTTTTTTAACTATATGATCTCAACTTGTATAAGAGAATTTTACTTATAATTTTATACTAGTTACCATTTTTATTTATAATATTCTGCAATAATAGCTATGATAGTCAACTAAGAAAAAATATAGCTATAAGTATATTCTAATAGTAGTTTTAATATTAAGTTTGCTAAAGCAAAAATCTTGAAATGATCTTCTTTGAATCCTAAGTACAAGCAAACTTTCAATCCAATAAACTAATTAGGAGGTTCAGATTTTGAAACAATCATTATAAATAAATTATTATATGTAGAAATATCATCTTTTTAAAATATTTAATTTTTTAACTATATAATCAATGATCTGTATAAAGAAATTTTATATATTATTTTTCACAGTTGTGTCAGTTTACTTCTTTATTTATTGTAATCTTGTAATAATACTATAATGATCAACTAAAAAAAATATAGCCATATGTATATTCTATTAGTAGTTTTAATATAAGGTCTGCAATAGCAAAAACCTTAAAATAATTTTCTTTTAAAATTCAAGTACAAGTTCATTAAATTAATAAATTAAGAGTTTTAAACTTTGGCATTAAAATAAATACTATTATAATGCTATACTTTTTTATTAAATTTTATCTTTTTTTTAAATCTGCAAATACATTTATATTATATAATAATTCTAGTCTTGTAAAACCAACCACCTATAAGTACTATTAAGTTTTGTGTCCCCAATTAATTAGATATTTAGCTAACAATATAACCTTAAATTTTATACTTCTTATTTTCAAAAAAAACTTTTAATATAAAATATATAACAATAATTGTATTACATGGTTGTATATCAGAATCCCGACACACAAAATCCCGATACACAAAATCCTGGCAACAAAATCCCAATATACAAAATCCCGACAAATTAAAATTCTAATTTTAATAGCTTTAGAATTTTAATTTGTCGGGATTTTGTTTATCGGGATTTTGTTGCCGGGATTTTGTGTTTTGGGATTTTGTGTGTCGGGATTCTGATATACAACCTTACATATCAACACTTTACCTTTTTTATTTCCAAGTTGCAATAAATAATTTATTTTTTGTCAAAAATTAAAACAAGCATCATTGTCAGTTTAATGGAGTTGATTTATATTATCAAATATTTGCATTATATGAATTAATATTAATTATATATATCTTTATTTTAAAAAGAGATTATCAAAGTATAATTTGTTCAAACAATAACAATTATAACTCTTTTGCGACTATGGATCTCTGTGAAACTAGTGATATTAAATAGAATAATTCTGGTAATATATATATTGGTCTGGATAGTAATTTTATTTGGCAATTTATAGTATTAGTGAAACATCTACAATGCCTATAGTTAATAATAAAGATTATAAGTTTTTTTTTAATTATAATGTATTTCAAAAAACTTGAGAATGTATGTATAATATCGATGAAGAAATTACTATAAATAATATAAATGAACTAATATTAATTCTTCATTTATAAGTTCAGAAAATTATAGCAAACAGGTGAAAGATTATGAAATTAATGATATTATCTGTGAAAAGTTAGTTCTATTGTTGTTCTAGATATTTATGATAGAAAAATTAAATAATGTTCTAATTTTGAACAACTAAGACATCAGCTTCGACCTCTTCACCAGCTTATTGGAACCTGAAAAATAGATGAATCAGTTGTTAACAAAGACAATTCTAGAAGTATAGTACATAGTCTTGGTGTATATATAGCACATTTTACATTTGATCAAAATTGGTTAAATGCTAAAAAGGCAATTCATGGGCAGCCAATTAGAAATAGTTATATCCAATTATGAAGATATTTATTTTGTAACAAAAATTGTTATTTTTTTAGTAAAGAAACAAATTGTCGGGAACATTGTATTAATATTAATGGTCATAACATACAGATTCCTTGTATTGGGCATAAAGTATATTTAGCTCTATTGCAGAATCTAAAGATAAAAACTTAAAAAAAGACATTCTAGCCAAAATGATATTAGTACTTAGCGAAATGTATTATCCAGTGTCTAAAAAAAATGATCAAAGTACTACAAATCAATTAACATTAATACCTAGCTTGCTAGTAATAAAAACAATTATGTGGCTTGGAAAAGTTAAGATTAATAAATTAAAAGATAACCAGCAATTAGAAAACTTATTAATATCAGAAGTCAAAGCAAAAAACTTGGTCAAGTATACTTTATAAAATATAAGATCAGATGTATTTAAAAATAAAAAAGTACTTAAATCCCCTGAATTATTTAATCAGTACTGTAATAGATTTTCAGACTTTCTTAAAAATTTTTTTAACAGTTTTATAATCTTTATACAAAAAAAAAGTATCAAATTTACCAAAAATAGCAAAAATAGCAATATGGCAAGCTTGAAGAATTTGATAAAACACAATCTTTTAAAATTTCAGCTTTATAATTTCAATAATTCTTACTATGACTTTTTCAAGTATCACATTTAATAAGTTCATTATACAAAAAGCTGAATCTTTTAAGCTCTTTGTATTTGATATTATATACAGCAAATACTATATCACATTCACAGTATCATGTAAGATATCTTGAAAAAAATCTAGCAAATGTACTCAATTTTAGCAACCCAGTTAGTTGAAGATAACCATATTTGGAGTGTATGTATATTAGACAATATTGATTTTATGAAAAAGTCTTTTAGTTTTGGAAAGATATATGATACTGCTCAAATAACTATACATGTATGCTTACAGATAATATATTGCCAATTCCTCTAGAAGAAATTTTTGCTAATGCTAAAGCTATACAAAAAGATTATTTATTTAAAATTAATCCTTTAGCTTCTACAAATAAAATGCTTCTAGAATATAAAACTAATTTTTATAATTTATTGACATATAGTGAAACAGAATTTGATATTGATAAAGTGTATAAAGAATTAGTAAAAAATGTAGAACCGGGTTGTCAGGTAGATGGACCAAAAGTAATTATTTTGGAGCCAGGAAGTAACCCATGTTCAGATAAAGCTATACAAAATACTTGTAATATTTTTTTTGATAATGTTGGAAAGAAGACTAATAGACATAGTAAAATTGATATAGTAGCTATAAAGCTATTTTTTAACATCTAATTTTATACTATGAAAAAGAGCCAAATACTACAATTTTACTAGATACTTGGCACACAAATAAAGAAATGTATATAATATTAATTACAGTTTTTTCAAGTTATGAAATTTTTGATATAGCAGCCTATCTCAGTGTTAAATTTTTAGACAAATTGAAAAAAGTAGTAGATTATGTAGCAACTTGCTGAGTATTAGAGTTAATTTGGACTGCAGTGGAATTTGCATTGTATAAAATTGCTCAAAATACTAGTAAAACATTTGCAATAATTTGTAAAGAAGATAATCAAATAATGAAAGTTTGGCTTCTTTTTTTGAGTGAGATAGCTACTGGATCAGGCACAAAATTGGAATTTGATATGATCATCATCAAATGCAGCTTCATAATTTAGCAGCATTTGCACCACTTTTTGCTAATATAGGAAAAAGCAATTATATGTGATCAGTAACTCATTTTTTAAGCTATTTTCTAAATGATTTAGAATTATCTTTATTGTTGAAATATATTTTTTCAGTAAATTTGATAAAAATAGATCTGCCTTTAATAAGGCACTTAAATATTTTAGTATTAAATTGTTAAAGAAAATATTGGATTTTATTTAATACTTCACTATGATCAGTTTATAAAATAAATCAATTATTTTATGGTATTTTTAAATGATAAAATA